CTTGTAATTACAATAAAGCGTCCAGATTATATTGCAGACTTCCTTAAAAAAGTCTGTATTTTACTGGGCAGGGCTGCAAACCACGCACGCACACCCTAGCCCACTACAACACACCAAAATAGATCGGAGAAGGGGGGGGGGGTAGGAAATAGATTGGCATGTGTATATTTGTGTGTGCGTGTTTGTGAGGAAATGGACTGGGTTGGTACAGGGTTACAGTGGGAGCACTGAAAAAAAAAGCCTATGTATGTATCTCTGTATTATGCTACACAGAGCTCCCAGTAAGTAGAGACCCAGATGTAAGAGTGCAAAATAAAAGAGTCAAAGAGAATGGCTCATTGATTTTGGATGCTGGACTCATATACGCCCAGATGAGAAGCAAGCTTAATGCCAGCTTGTATATAAGAGCCATATTAAACCGTCAGTTACGCTAGTAAGAGTTTACAGCAACGAATAAATGTTTGTTTGTTTGCTGCGCAGATCATTATAGCAGGTGTGAGCGTGTGAACACTGACATAAGCTCTCGGTTTGACTCATTTTTTCACATTTTCTAAATGTGGCCGCTGAATGAGCTTCAGATCATTTAGCACAATTATGCATCATTAAGCAAATTTACTTCAGCTTCTTCAGTCGCCTCAGTAATGGTGACTATTTAACGGATACTTATAGAAGCGTGCAGGGAATGGAACATACATTGAGAGCATTTCAGAACAGATATGCTACACTGTAAAAAGAATTCCGTAAAATTTACGGTAAAAAAACGGTAGCTGTGGTTGCCGGAATTTTACCGTAAAAAATACGGTAGCAACGTTTTAGGTTTTACGGTTTTAACTTAAATTTACAGTTAAATACCGTAATTTCATTAACTGATATATTGTTAATATACCAACCTTATTGAAGTACTGAAATCTGTTTTGTACCTTTGTAATACACTGATAACCACCAAATGCAGGTGGCATCCCTCACAAGCAGCTCACGAGCAGCTTTTAAATAATAACATATATAGAAGGTGCACAGTGTCATTCACACAAACACTAAACACCATCATGGTAACACACATGAAACTGAAATAATGCAATAAACATTCATTTAACAACATTAGGTGTAACACACAACCCTAATATACAAAACTGATAAGAAAAAAACTAAGAAGAAACATAGTTATTTCAACAAAAAAACATCAAATTTGAAATGTAATGCAGGGAATTCTGGGAATGTCAATTTACGGTTATTCACTGTAAATTATACGGTCTTTTTCACTTCCAAAAACGGTATACTACCGTCAAATTAATGTCCAATACATGTAATGTCCAATACAGTTTTTCACCGTATATAGTAGGGGAATTTACCGTTAACCATTTAACAGGTTTTTCCTGTAGCATTTTTACAGTCTTTTACCGTTAAATTCACGGTCATTTTTTACAGTGTACAGTTTCACCAAGAAAGCAATGAGATTAAATGGAGTTCAAAATGAGAGTTTACGTAACTTCGCTCACCTCAGGGCTTCTTCTTGAGAAAAAGACCCACGTCTCGTGTGGAGTTTGAGAAGAGATCTTAATCTGTACTCAGATGTGCCAAATTAGTCTGCAACCAAAAGTCAGAGATCTCATTATGAACTCATATGTTTCTCATCACATTTTCCCAAGGTTCAATTAATTGCATTAAAGTCTTACTCTGTCAAAATTCATAGCATTTTCCCCTTTTTTTTATTTCTCTGAAGAAATGCATACATTTCTAATTGTGTGTGTATATATATACAGTATATATATATATACAGTAAATATATAGAAGTATTTATCATATCTTAATGACCAATGTCACAGAACTACTTACATTTATTCAAAACAGATGAAACAAGTGTGGGAGGAAGACAGAGAAGAGAAATACTGAAAATGACTATGGAAAGAGATGATGTGAGAAGAGAGAGAAGAGGTACTGAGCTATTTAAGAAGTCACAGAAAACTTCACGGAGGGAAAAAAAATCACTGGAATGAATTGGGAAGGTAAGGGGGGTCCAGTGGCATGCAGCAGGAGAGAGGGAATGAATGAGGCCTATTGATGGAGAGAGAGGGATCAAACAGTATTTACCCAGAGAGAGAGAGAGAGAGAGCGATAGTGAGAGGTGGTATAGGAGGGAGTCCTGAGCAGAAGGGAGGAGGTCGGTTCATATGACCCACTGACTGAAGTGGAAATGTGGGGACATACTGATGAGTCAAAGGAGGAGACGGTGATGGAGAGGACAGAGAGAGAGAGAGGATGTCATGAAAATTTCCTGGATGCAATACCAAACTGCATTACAAAATATCATTTGAAACATGGCAGTAAAAGAGAAATATCCACCGTTTTGTATAAAGTAATAAATAAATAAATATCAGATTTTAAATGAATTTTAAAGGGATAGTTCACTCAAAAATTAAAATTTACTAAAAATGTGTTTCCCCCCCCCCCCTTAGGTCATCCAAGATATAGATGAGTTTGTTTCTTAACCAGATGTGGAGAAATGTAGCATTACATCGCTTGCTCACGATTGAGTCACCAATGGATCCTCTGCAGTGAATGGGTGCCGTCAGAATGAGAGTCCAAACAGCTGATAAAAACACCACAATAATCCACAAGTTATCCACACCACTCCAGTCCATCAATTAGATTAGATTTAGATTTAGATAGACTTTATTGTCCCGAAGGAAAATTGTCTTGGACACATACAATCCAGTGACTGCTGCTTAAATAAGTAACAAAATACAATACATACACACATACGCACACACACAATACCCACAATACATACACAAACTGCCATCAACCAACCAGTTGCACACTACCCATCAATTAGCATCTTGTGAAGTAACAAGCTGCATGTTTGTAAGAAACAAATCCATCAGACTTCAATCATTTAACTTCAGACTGTCTTAAATACGAGTTCATAATCCATAATAACGCTTCCTCGAGTGAAAAAG